CTTAGACCAGGTAAGTGTCCTGAGGCCTTCCCTGCTCTGACCACATCCACATCCATCCACTGCCCTCAAAACATCCCTGGGCTAGTCCTTCCCACCCCTCCTGCGTTCCGTCCCCTCCCACTGTGTCCAGACTGTCTGCAGAGCCTCCTGCCTGGCTCTGTCCTCACCTTTCCCGGCTCCCTGGACTTTGTCTTTGCTGGTCTCGCCATTCCCTCCCCCACCACCATGCATAGCCCTACAGGCACCCTGCATATGCTGAGGTTCATCCGGGCCAGGTGCTGTCCCACGCTTGGCCCCACCCGTGAGGCATCCCGTGTATCCCTCTGCCCCTTCCTTTTTGCCGGGGAGGCAACATGGTTGTAAATGTGTGAAATGCCTTCTGTCCCTGGGAGGTCAGGGGCCAACAGTGTGCATGGTGCTGTGCGTCTGCTCTCGGCACCCACTGTCCACATGGGGTGCACAGTTGTGTCCAGTGAGAAGCTTTCAGGCAGGAGGTGGAAACCCCCCAGGGCCCAAAGGGCACGCGGGTGCTTCTGTAAGTTCAGAAAGGGAGGGCTGTGTAGAGGCCAGCTCCTCCCTGTCCTCTGCCCACCACACTTAACCAGTCTCACGTCGGCTCCTCAGTGGCTCTTCTCTGACACTCCGGCCTTATCCGCCTTATTCTCTTGGCCTGGCTCATAGATGCTGGGGCTCCTTGAGGTTTGGTCCCTGAGCCAGGACTCCAGTCACCCTCCAGGCCCTCTCGGTCCTCTGTGCCTGGGGCCCAGTGTCCTCTCAAGTTCTGTGTTTGGATGTCTGGACTCAGTGTCAGGGGTGTGAGGTGTGGAGGCTGCTGCGTGGGAGACCCTGAGCCTATCCCGTGGTGCCCTGCCTGTCACCTCTGCAGATGTGGTGACATCTCCCTAGGGGTTATGGGGCAGGAGTTGCCCTGGCCTGTTGTGTGTGCTCAGAAGCTTGCAGACTCACATCAGGCCTCACCTCCCAACCCCTGGGGTCCCTGCCCTTGAGCTCGTGGGGCCGTCTCCTGAGGACATGGCGG